TTTCCGTATTCATATCGCGGCACAGACGCCGAAATCTTCAAATTCGAGTTATGCAGCCTGTGCAATTCTGGAAAGTCACGGCTTACCGTTTTACATAGTATTCGCAAGATTTAATGAAAAACGGGAAAGCAAGGACTGGCGGTACTGGCGAAGAGCCAGTCAGCCTGTCAAGCGACTGATCAACGGACGAGCATGCGGCGACGCATACAAGGGAAAAGTAGCGAGGGCACATCGTCGTGCAGTGAGTGGTATTAGCGACGGAGCGAGCACAGGCTGTAGCTGGAAGATACGTAAATGCCCGGCGTCAGCGTCGTCCTTTATCGCTAGACGCAACCCGAGTTCAAACGGAAAATAAGCTCGCCTCGCCACTTTGCCACGGAGCTCGTGAATAAACAGCAATAGAAAGTACAGGCGCGGATTATTCGTTGGGCTTTCGGGCCAAGTGAAAAGCCAAAGGTCCGCGCGTGCGTTCGCGGGATCAGTTGGCCGAGCGCGAGCCTCGGAGCCGCGGGCGCAAAGTCGGAAAAATGCTCAAGCCCGCCAGTTTTTCTCCCCGTCAGTTTGCGAGGCGCGCGCGCAAAAAAATGTTGATCCGCTGACTCGCTATCTCTTGGCCCATCCGTCAGCGGCGCGCTCTTTTTTGCTCCTGCTCGGCCGCGTTATTGCCAGCGTCTCGCTGTAGCTTGGCGCGAGGAAAAGAGCTCAGCGGTAGTCTGGCCATGTCGGCGCTCGCAAACGATTACGTCGAATGGTTCGCTTGAGCGATACGCCTAGTTTGTTTCGACCCAAGACGAGCTGCTGAACGAGGGGCCCGCGAACAGCACGGACATCAAGCCTCGAGCAACGAAGAGCGACGAGAGAAGGATTCCGAGCAAGGGCTCGTTCTGATAATCGGCGGCGTGCGCTCGGTCACTCGCGTTCTCGCGCCTCGCTTGTCCCTGCATCAATCACAGGCCGCTCGAGAAAAGCTCCGTCCGTGAGAAAATCCGCGCTAATGAATCATAAGAGCCGGGCGCACCGAGACGGCCGCCGTGGCCACGGCCCTCGCGCCTTTTGATGGATAATCCGAAGAGTCGAGTTCCGCCGCGCTCTGTTCGATCAGCTGACGGATCGCCGTCACGGGCGGCAAGCGCTAATTATTTGCGCGGCGCCAGCAGCTAGTCGAAAGCGCTCGCGCTTCGTTCGAATGCCCGATGGCGAATCGATGGCGCTGCGAGGGCTGTCTGCTGAGCGATCGAAATATAATAGGTGCGGCGGGCGGCGCTGCCGGCAGGGCGCCGCGGCGGAAGCGCTTTTGTGAAAAAACATATTTGCGCGCAGTTCTGAGGTGGCCCTCGACGAGACGGCCGGGGGAGTCCGATCAATGGAGGAGCGCGGGGCCGGCGCTGCAAGTCGGTCCGGCGAGAAAGCTCGGCCTCTTCAGAGGGACCGCGGCAGCTCGAGCGCGAGTCCGCAGCCAGTTCGAGTGGCACTCGGTGCCGGGCCCTCGAGCAGCGCCTTTTTGCGCCTTTTTGCGCCTTTTTGCGCCTTTTTGCGCCTTTTTGCGCGCCCCGGAAGCCGACGCTGCACCCCACGGCTAATCCGAGCCTCCGCTCGAGCTCCGCATCGCTCCGCCGCAGCCCGGCTGCCTATCTGTCAGCGATAATTACCCGGCTCCGGCGCAGCTCGCTTCCACGTCGTTCCATTTACTTTTACTTTGCGCGCGCGATTCGTTTCTCTCTGTTTCTCTCTGCCCTTTGTTCGCACCTTTGGCCGCCTCTATTATTCTCCGCGGAAATATCGACGAGCCACTGGCGGCCAGTCTCGGCAATTGATTGCAAGCCCCTCGCCCGGCCACCAACCAGTACTTGCACTTTCGAGCGTGGCGAGCGAGACAAGCGCGCCTCCGCCGACGGGACTCGGCGCTAGAAGATAGAGCAGCCTTGTGGATCATCGAGAGAGGCTGTCTGTGAAGCTGCTATACAAAGCTCGATGACATCGGGATCTCGGCCAACTGCCGTTGGCTAAGTCAATTTTTCGCGCTTTCACGCTTGAGCTGAATCTCGACGGACAGCGAGAGCTCGATCGCGAGCTCGTATCGCTGACGAGACCCGAAAGCTCAAAAGAATTAGAAGGGGTCCGAGTAGCGGAGTGTCGGGCCTATTATTCAAGCCGCCAAGCCGAGACCGCGCGAGTTCATCAAGTACTTGTTTCGAGTCTTGGAAGTTGGACCTCCTCGGTCGTCCGACTCTTCAAACTAATTCCAGCCTTTCGGTCGTCGCGAACCGATTGAGAGCTCGAGACGCGCCGCCAACTCTTCAATCTCGGCCGGAGCGTTCAATTGTTCGTACGGCTTTGTGTCATGTCAATTCGATTGACCTGTTCTTTGCGTTGAGAATCGATAAACATTTACATTCCTCCGTTTCATTGGCCGATGTTATTTTGACGGCTTATTTCCAAGCATCACTTTCTAACCGAGCGAGTGCTCGCTAAAAATCCATACCTAATTATAACTCAGTTTCAAAGTAATTAAAACTTTATCACGAGCGCCGACTGCATGTGATACGTTTGCGGAGCGTGGTAACTCGAAATTCGCATATTTATGATTGAATATATCATTATCGAATGGAATATACTAGCGCGCATTTGAGTTGTTCTGGTATCCGAAAGCCGCCCATTCGTCCAGTAGCCTCGGTACTCGATATGTTACCTGTTCGAATCATTGTAAAACTTGGCCTGTTATTCATATTAATCCGAATTTTAGCACACAACATTGTTCGTATTTCGAAGCATTTCAACCACTCAGGACGAGTGTCGACTCATTCAAGATGTGTTTTATTCTCTATCAGAACATTGAACATTGAACGATGGCAATAAATTGAACAAATTTAGAATCGAATGGAATTTAATATTGAGCTGTTAATCAGAACAAAAGTATAATTAATCAGTAATAAGCTTATAATGGTCAGTGCAAATTACCAACCAACAATTTCCATTGATGACTTCTGAAATGGATAGTGCAGATGCGCGGGTACGAGTGAGTGTAAAAAATCGCAAATAAAGAGTATCTCTGCGGGAAAATATGTATGCGTGAAGAGAGAAAGTAGCCATGCACGGTGCAGTCGGCGTACATCTCATGCATACATAAATACTCCGCCCCTCTCGACCTCTCGACCAATTGCATTTCAAATAGGATTTGCATGATATTTTTATCCAAATTCGATGTGGTGCAACGCGCATTTAATGAAAGTTCGAAGCCTCAATGGGCTTTTAACGCTGCTCATCGCCGCGCGGACTATCATGATTCTGCCGGTAAAACCGATCTGAATATTTCAAAAATTCATTTCATTATACGCCCGCTGCTCGTGAAGGAGATAAAGCTTCATTTTATTTAGGCCTGGCGGAATGGCCATTGCGTAATACGAGGGCAAAACAAATGGTTTTCTGGCCGAGGATATCGCGGATACAGCCGAAATAAAGTCCGCATTTCCAATGACAGCCAGCTCATTATGCAGGTCTCGATGCGCGTAGCGTAAAGCAATTTAGGGATTGAAATGACGTGCGCCGAGAACGGCGCCTCGATCAGGAGAGCGACGCCGCGGCTCAAAGAGGAGGGCGGGCGCCGGCGATGCATCAACGCCTGGGATGCTTGTATATTCTGGCAGGATAACATTAGCGCGCACTGCTTATCGGGGCGGCAGACTGCATTCAGCCGGCGCGGCGGGATGCGGCGGGATGCGGCGAGAGGAAGCCGCCTACGGAACAAGGGCTGGCGGGTCCTCGGCAGCTCTTTTTACGGCCCCTCCACTGACAATAGCTCGCCCCGCGTATCCTGCGCCACGGCCTCGCGCGACGAGCTGTTTCTCGCGTGATCCGCTCTGCTCCGGCAGTCGGAAAAATTTCATCAGGGCTCTTGTCTGCCGTGTCCCCGGCGTAGTTGCGGAAAGATTGCCCATTAACGCGTCCGTAACAATGCATTATTCGAGGCTTGTCGCGACTGAAGGTGAAAATTGGAAAAAGTTACGGGCTCTGCGAAGTTGGGTGCTCTTCCGTCTCGTTGTCAGGGTTCTTTGTGCCGTAGCTCTCGCTCTCGCTCTCTCTCTCTCTCTCTCTCTTTGTCTCTCTCTCGAAGTCGCGCCGAGTCGCGTTAATTGCGTGCATGCGAAATACGGCGCGAGGGCCACGGCTGCGCTCTCGTAGAGAACGACGCTGAAGAAACGCTGCTCGACGCGACGTACACCCGACTCGACTGGCACAATCAACCAGTTTTCCGAGTACTAATTTCGCTGGCGCTTCGTCTACGTGGAAACGCGGCTCGATCGAACGAGTCTATTTTGGGCGATCTATCAAAGACCAAAGAACAAATGAGCGCGAGCCATACCGGTCCAGCTTATTAGCGGCGAGCATACGCGCCAATCAGCCATTAGATCGCCATCGCCGAATCGTCGCGACTCTGCTGCGCGCTGCCACGTTCGAGGCTCGACCTCGCAGCCTCGCCCCCCGTCGCCGCCGTTAGTGTACTCGCTTACATAAGCTCAATCGGCCGAAACAACGCACCGCAGTTCGACCGACCCACCGCGGCCCCAGTACATCTCTATATCCTCGCGATGAGCTTCGACGCGCGCGCGGCTCGCCTCTGCTTTTCCCCCCGTCATTAACGTCTAGGTCCCACGTGTTTTTCCGCAAGTTACAGCCTTTCACGGAGACGCACGTGTAGCCAACCGAATTCCGGGGGAAATAGCAGCAGCGCTAAGGAATGCAGTGAATATATCCAGCGCGAGCGAGAGCCAGCCTCGGAGGCATGCGATGAACAGCCGTAAAGTGTCGTGCAAGCACGCCCCCTCATTTTTTTTCACTGGCGCGCTTCATCGCCCGGTTTATAACCCAATCACTTGCTGTTTTTCATCAATCGCGTTGAAGCAACGTTACGGCCGTTTGTCGATCGTTAATCCTCGATCGACGACCATGTAAAATCGCAGCCGAGAGCGCGAAGCGTCTGCAAGCTGACTGCGCGTACTCACCACATCTCAGAAGAATGAAAACCAGGAGCCGCAACGGTGACCATCCAGAGGGCCAACTCATGTCCACTGCGTCATCGGTGACTTTCTACGCCAACAGTCGCTGAAATCAATGTTGAGAATGTTGCGTTAGCGAATCTCGCGAGGAGCAGTCGGATGGTACATTCAGAAGCAAACGCAGACTAAAGCGATAAAGACAGGGTCGTCTATATAAATCGGACGTGAGCTGGATTTGAGCTGGGCTACGTGCGAGCTGACAGCCCGCTCTGATACGCAGGCCCGATGGGCCGCGCCGCGACGCCGCGATGCGAGCTGCATGCCAAGCGACAACGACCGATACGCAAGCGGAACACCCGGGCGTGTCGTCGCTCCTGTCCGCGACGCAGCGGAAGCAGCTCGAGCTTTCGCAATTGACGGCTTTCCGTCGCTCTAACACGCTAACCCTTTTACGTGCGGAGACCTATTCGCAGTGGTCTTACCAATTGTGACGCTTCCTCGGTGATGATTGGCCTCGCCGTAATCGTCTTGGTGCCTGATCGCAACGTCATTTTCATTTGTCCGATCGAAGCGACGTTCGATCATCGCTCCTCGCTTTTCAATTTTCGAGTAAGCGATCAGAGGTTAGCAAACTACCGACGCAACATTCAGTTTCTGCCGCTCGATAAACGCGAGCGCAGTCAAGTCGAAAGCAGGCTGCAGATTTAGATGAGCGAACGTCGATAAGTGGATAAGTGCGTTCAGTTGGTGTCGTATACCAGTGAGATGCATAATCCAGGCTCGGAGTAGTTTGCAACGAAGCGGTAATTGCTCGGGCTGCAGAGGCTGCACTTCAGCATCAGACGTGCGCGCGCGCGCGCATCAGTTATAGTTAGTTGGTCGGTGCGGTTCCCAGACGTGTATCGCGAACGCTACGCAACATCGCAATTATCGATCGCCGTTACTGCCTCCCGAAGACTCCGAGGGACTCCCGCTTGTCCGTTACCTTGCGCGAGCCGAGAGCTTGCGTGCGACGAAATGGCAACGACGTGTTCAAAGAAGTGTCTGGGCAATCTAGACAAACGACGCACTCGGTCTTCGAGCGCAGTCGAACAACCAGTCGTGCGCTCGACAAGTATCTGCTCGCACGTGCGCGCAAAATCGAAAGAGGCCGCTCAACGCTTGAGACGTCCACATCGCCACCGCTCCCATTCGGCCAGGCTCGGCTTTGGCACTTCGCAATCACAAACAACATCTTCGGTACTCTCGAGGCGCCACGGCAGATCCGTACACTTGCCGCTGAATAAATAATGTTGGAGCCTTCGCCCCAGGGCTGCTCCCTTACTCGTGTAAGCAGCCCCGATAATTCGCTTAGTAAACCGCCACGACTGCGCTATCGACACGAACACGACCGGTCAACGATTCGCAAACTTCTCGAGCTTAAGCTGCCTCGACTTCGACAGACAGTTGCCATTTACTGAGTTGATTATTCGCCAACTAATATCGTTATGTCGTCACAGACTCTCGATAAAACGTCAATAGCAACACAACTAGGAGTTACCAACAAATGAAACATTGTCAAGAAGATCGTCGGTTTAGGGGTTTGTTTAAAAAAAATTACTCGAAAGCGCAGTGAGTTTTGCTCATCGAGCTTCTGGTACGGTAACTAGCTGATATTGCGGTCACTACCCTTACAATCATAGGTACGCGCACCTCTGCTATCGGACGTGCCTTCGCGAGGCTCACAGGCCCATTCTGCTCTAGCGCTTCTCTGATCATTTGTGCGCAGCAAAGCACGCGGGTTTCAAAGACTCATTTCCAAAACATCCGCGTACCTTATACGCGAAACACAAAACTTGATATTATTGAAAAGAAACTAGAAAGGCATCGAGCAATAAACTGGTTGTGCACAGCTTCAGCAGTGTAAAGACTGTAATTGCGCAGAACAGGTACAGGCACGGTCTTAAAAAGAATGAGGCTGTGCAAGACGAAAGTAATTTGATGAAAGCTATAAAAGCGAGGCCAGAATTGCAAGCTGGCCTGCCGATATCTTGATCCCCGGCCAGTATACGTCTATTAGCTTGACCCTCGTTTAGGCTGATCCCGGCATTTCTTACTTTTACACGTTCAAATGCTGCAACGGAGGCGCCTGTTTTCTGCACGGGCGTCATTCGCGACGTTTGCATGCCTTTTGACACTATTATTCAAATGGATATTTGATCATAAAATATATTTGTATTTAGGCAGATTGCTCGATGAATCTTAGTTGGTTGGTTCACACAGCGAAATGTTTCGGGAATCGTGTTTTATAAAGCAGATAATTTATTTCTTTTCAAAAATTACTGTCAAACAGCAGATAACAAAAGTGTGATCAACGAATCGGAGGACTATTATATCTATTCATATATTTGGCGTGATTGCGGCTAACATTTTATCTACTGCTAGTAAAATATCAGCAACATCATCACCGATATCTAGTCCAAGTATATCGGGAATCGTACTCTTGCAAAAAGAAGCCATTCGAGCAAGTAATGTTGGTTTTGCTGGAGCACTGCCACTTCCGGACTGACCCGATTGACCCGATTGACCCGACTGACTTGGTTGACCCGACTGACCCTCAGGTTGTTGTTGTTGCTGCTGCTGTTGCGGCTGCTGTTGTTGCTGTATAGTATTTATTTCAGTTTGTCATTAAAGCTGATCACAGTATACAAGTAAAAAGAAGATTCGATAATTCTTTTGAATTTCTTCTTTAAAAATCAATTGCAAAGGTGAGATACATAAATTTGCTGAGAGTAAACAGACTTCTATTATATTTCACCGTTTGCAATTCTAATGTTAATTATCTAATGATCTTTAGAATGCAAGCTTTAATCAAACATCAGAATAAAAGTGCCTTCTGTTTCATTAATTATCTTTCACCTGAGGAAAATTACGTTCGTAACTTAGCAAAGAGTCTGTAGGTAAAACCAGAAGCAGACTGCCCTGTGAAACTCTGTTGCAAATACCTTATAAAAAATTCAACCAAATGACCATCTTGCAATATCGTTTACTTTCATAAATTTTATGTGCTGGATGTTGCTGAATAAGCCAACAACTTCATTGATGTATTCAAGTATTCTATACAATCGTTGTCAAGATAGTATTTTGAAAGAGTCTTACTTGGGCATTGCTAACGTGCAGCATTGCAGTGATTAATGCAAACAGGATACAAATTTGAATCGCCGTTTTCATCGTAAACGATTCAATATCTGCAATCGTTTATTTTTATTATTCAAGGCTAAAGAATCGCAAAATGACGAATTGAAATATGAACAATTCATACACGAAGTGGGTCGACGATGTAATACGTGTTTATTTAATGGACGTTATCTTGAAAATTACTTTTCTTTAGATTCCCTTCAAATTTTGAAAATGACTTCCTTTCTTCATTACCTATAAAATTAAGATATTAATCTTCAAAGTTTGCCTTTTCAATACTTGTCAGATAGACTCAAATAATTTTCGTAATACATTTCGGTATAAAAACCATGTGTACCGCTGCTTATTCAACTTTATAACTATTAATGTTTCTTACCACGCTACAGTACGAGTACATCTATATAGTGCTGCAGTTTGCGTAAAAGCTTATGACATACTATAATTTTATTGATTTTGTTTTACTATTTCCATCCAGTTTTATCATAGTCTAATGGCTATGTACTATCTTCCAAAAATTTTTAACGCTAGCAATTCTGTTGACCGAATATTTCAATTTACCATTTTTATTTTTTTATTTATTGATTATTACAAGAGAACGTTCTTAAAACAAAATCGGTGACTACATGGTAAATTCTTAACAAACTATGTTAAAGCAATTCAAAAATTACACACTCACTGCTTTTGATTATTCACGTTATTATTTGAGGCAGAAAATGATAACGCAAACAACAATAAAAAAGCTAGCTAATTACGACGTGGTAATAAAAGAAAAAAAAAATTTACAGAGAAAATGTTCTATCTCAAAGAAAAAAAATTACCCTAGCTTCGACGTTGCTTCTGAACAGATTTTCGAACAGCGCTTACGGCTTGGGAAATCAGGTTTCCCTTTACTCAGAATTAATTCTTGAAGTAATAAAAAAATATTGTAAAGCTCAATTTTAACAAACCCTTATAGACACTTTGGACGCTCTAATAGATTTTATTTTTTTACAAGAGCAAACTTGTGTCAAGCTCCCGCGAGACTAAGCTGCGCTCGTATCAAAGATACAAAAATGTCTTCGTTTGCTTATATCATATTTATTATAGCATATTTACCTCAAATATTTATAGTATAAGCGACGTTCTGGTATCTTCTTTTACTAAACTTCTGCGAGGAAAGACTATTCGTAGCTTTTTATATATTCTATTTCCTCTACATTCAAACAAAACACGGATATTTTGATAGCAGCAGTTTATCGTTTTACAATTTTTTTCACAGTGCCAGCACTCAATAGGCTAATTAATTTTATTCTCTGCGATAAGTAATATCTTAATTAAGGGCATTATTAGAACAATTTATAATTTTGTACGTATATGTACGGAAACTGAAATTCAATATATCATACAATTGCATCTAGAAACTTGTTCTTTCTTTAATTTATATCATGAAGTTGATGTGATTCCAATATATTATCAAACATAATATACCGAGAAATAGATTACATATTGATACAACCCTTATCCAACATAATGGAAAACTTCTTTTCGTTCTCGATGTACAAATGCTATTTAAGAAGTGGTAAAGCTGACGTATGAGTAGGCTGTGGATGCCTAGGTACGGTTTTCAGATCAATTTTTTAGCTGCAAGCAATTAGTGCATACACAGACAAATTGTATTTACGAATGTCGCTACGAAGTGCCACTTTTGAGCTATATATACGATTATGTGTCTGGCGTCTGGCTCATCCTTGTAAACAGGAAAACAGACGATCTTTGTCTTAATTTTGACGAATTTTGAAATTGCGCTTTTTAGTGATAATCGCAATTGGAGCTAAAAATGTATCTGAAAACAATCTCTAGGCACCAAGATATATTGCTCGCATCTCCGTTTTATTCCGTTTGTAAGGTGTGCAAGGAGATTTCACTCGCTGTACAAGGAACGCCTACAGTACTTAGATTATATCGCATTATCCGAATTACAAAGTGTATTTGTAACTACCGATAACTGTACCCGGCCATATTATCACTGCAAAACATATGGTCATATCATGATCTTGTATCTCACCAGATCTGTAGACGCTAGAAGATTCCGTCAGAAAGATTAACCAGATAATGTCTCAGATATCAAATATTAGATACAAGATGTTAGACAACAATTTTAATATGGAGAATAAAAAAAACTAAACATTGTGAAATCTAATATCGTGAGTAAGTTTCTTCAAATTGTATCGATCGGACTGAAAGTTTGTTCGGGCGATATATGGCAATCTCGACTTTCAATTTGGCTCATAGACGTAGATATCGAATGCACGGAAGCGAGAAAAAAAAATGATAGACTTCCGGCAGAGCTCGGCGTTGCCATCTCACTGCGTTGTCGCATCTTCGTAGCTATCGCGCCTACTCGCATACGACTCGCAACCGTGACTGATGATTTGTCAATTGTTTCGTTCGCTCCGATAAAACGCCTGCGCTAAATTATTTACAGATTATTTAGCATTGACTGAACACTATAAAATGTGAAGGCTATTTATTTTGTTGAATGACTTGATAGCGAAGATATAATTATAAAATAAATGTAATATTGTGATAATGAGCTAATGTTTGAGGAAAACGTAAATAGCAGCTATATCAGACGGAAAACGGGAAAACAAAACAATTAAGTCGTTTATCTAGAAGTGGATGATATACAGTTTCTTTCAGTTATTTACAATCATATTTGCCCTTGAGTACGTTGGCATTGACGTATCAATTAGTTTTTTTAACACGACGTTGTTTCAGACTTCAAGTGGGCTTGCACAATTGGCGCAAACACAAATATATGGCGTGCACAAATATTAATAACAAACTTTCCGCGGTCTGATTGATCATATGATTTTGTGTAACTATACATTGCTAAAAATACAGCAGCCTAGTTCTCAAGCCGAATACAGCCATTCATTTACACATCTATACCACGGCCTGATCAAGAAAGGAAAAGAAGCTTGGATCGTTATTGGTAAATAACATAGGAATTGCGATTTAAAAATAGTCAAAATTAAGTTAACATTAAATGGATTTGCCATACCAATTTGTCGATAGCAAAGATACCGTAAAATGCCAATTGTCGAAGTAAATCTACAAATAAATGATAGCCAATCATGCAAGTTACGCAGTTCTCGTGGCATAGTAAGAGAGGTCCTTTTTTCTTGCAGGCTGACTTTCCGAGCGACTCGGATGCTGGGTCCTTTGTTGGCGCGCCGATATAGGGGAGAGGCTCAATGTAGTTACATATACATACGCATTGTATTGCTCGGAGCCGCAGCGACAGGCGTGCAATCGAGGCCTCGAGACTCATAAATCCCCATTGAAGCAAGCTCGGCGGGCGCCTCGGTCGACTAGCTCTTCCCTGGACTTTCTCCCCCGAGGGCGAAAGAACGCAAGATTTTCGGCTCCGAGCCCCAGTCGGCCAGTGGCAATAGTGCGCATCGGAAAAGCGAGGATGTTCCTTCCATTTTGTTATGTTGTTCTTTTGCCACTCTTTGCAGAAGCTTATGAGTTCGCGCGGAGGCCACTGGATCGGACACAAAGTCCAAGAGACTGCTTCGTCAGTCGCAGCTTTGTATGCCTCGCACCAATTGGCCCAATCATTCACAGTTTGTCCAACGCCGCATTTTCTATTCTCCGCTAATTTTTCTCTCGTTGCTCCGATTTCTCCCTTGTTTGTCTTTCTCGGACACATTCATTAATCATCTGATTTTATTTGTCAACCAACGTTCAGCTGCTATCAGTACACACATATACACACCCGTATTATATATATAAGCCCTCGATGATTTATCATTTACACTTACGCGCTTTGATCTATAATGGAATGTCATTTTACTTTTAGCACGAACGATCGAGTAACTCGTGTCATCGCTAAACACTAAAGCTTTTGCAGTGCAACAAAAATAAATGCATTCCCATCGACGGAACATGCAGGATAAATAAACAAACTATATGATTTTACAATCAGACGCGAGCATCGACAGACATCCTAAATTAATGAAATTCATTGTTTGTTTCGTTCACAAATCAAATTTAGCGGGCAGAAACAATGAATATTCGACCGCGAGTCGATCCTTCGTTAATCAAGCAAAGCCGCACTATCCAGCACAAGATTGTCCGTGTGGAAGTGATCCGACGGTAAATTGGCTCCGCGAAAATGAAAATATGCAGGCGCCGTCTTGCATTCCTGTTGAAGGAGTATCGTGAAAGCGAGAGTATATATATATAAGTGTAGTACAAAATCGATGGAGGCGCGTAATGCCCCGTAGACGTATTAAATTTTCATCTAGCACGTTTGATAATAACCGACCCCTTTCCATCAATAACTAGCCGAAATATACACATGTGAAATGGCGAATAACCGTCACGCTGAAAACAATTGATATTTAGAGGTAGGTTATTTTCTAATCTAACGGACGACTGCAAATGATCGACTGTCAAAGGTTGTCAAAATCAATCGTTTATTCGGATATGAGAAAGTAGCGAGTAGCGGAAGTATTGGCTTGTTTGAAAGCAAAAAATGGCAGAGGGCGTGGAAGCACAATCGGCACAATGTCAATCATGTGCATTGGCAGAGTAGCCCGAGGCGTTGGAAAATCAACAACGAGACATGCACTACCGCGAGGATCGAGCGAGCACGAATCTGCTATGCAGTAAGAATTAGAGGACAGAAAGGGAGAGACAGAGAGAGAGAGAGAGAGAGAGAGAGAGAGAGGGCTGAAAGTAGACCACGCAGTACCAAATGACAGACGGCATAGTTAATAACATTGTTCGACGACAGTCTAATGAGAAGCGCTAGGAAGCAGAGAGGGAGAGCGAGAGGATTACCGAGTGGGGATAATTTAGCCTTGCCAGGACCACTTCCCCTTCCGGTTTTGCAGGCGTTTCGCTCGCTCTGTGTGCGTAATTTACTCGGCTACACCTATATGCACCAGACGACTAACTAGTTATTCCTCAGATTAAATAAACTCCCATCTAATCAGTTCAAGCGACCACTCTCCCAATTACAATTCGTTCTAATCTTCTTCTCGCGTCGCCGATAGTAAAGACATCTTTGTTTAGAAAACTACAATTATGATGGATTGCTGACAAGATTAATTTTTAAAAAGGATCACTTCAAAATTGCTTACAATTACTTGCAAAGTCATGTTTTGATCAAATTGACAATGAAATTTGACAAAGTTAAATTAAGCAATTATGTCTTTTCACTCGTAGGACTACATAAGTCGTAAAAAATTTTATGGAAACAAATTCAGGAATGTACGGATATTATTCCATTATATGGTGGCAAGCATTTTTTTATTTTTACTTTTTTCATATACTCTAAATCAGTACAAGAATTTTCTTTAAGCTCAATTGTTCACAAATTTGACATACCCTTTGAAACTAAAACTGCGAAATCTCACTTCAAATTTTGAACAGAACTTGGAATAATCGTTGGAATTTCTGTTTATATTATGCTAAACTTGTTAGACCTTACTTTTTCAAACCAATCAATGGATAAAAAATTTATTCATTATAAAATATTTATAATTTAGCCAATATGTCACACTCACAAAATATCTACAAATAAATTTTATCGAAAGTAATAAAAGGAGTGTAAAAAAATATCACCATCTGTATACGCTACAGATAAAATTCAATTGCAATAGAGAGACGCAATATTCACCATTTATTGTTAAATGGAGACAGCATGCAATCATCTCCATCACCTTTACATGTGTGAGATGGTAATTTATAAATTAGAAAGTATAAGAGTAATACAACTTCATTTATAATCAATCGTTTCATTCGCTGTAGCATACTTTTGCAAAGAGCACAGTAACGAGGAAAAAATAAAGCGTCCAATTATGGCTTACACCGTGATAAATAAATATCATATTTGTGATAAAACTCTTTTAACTTATTTTTATTTCTGCACAATATTAAATGCATTTCAAATATGACATTGTTTACTCAAAAGACACAGGCCCAGCAACTATTAACGTATTACAAACAAACATTAAGAAAATTATTCCGAATATTATTGAAAATTTATTATAAGTGATGTTCACAAAGTTTTAGTTTAATAATATATATCAAAGTGGTATACAATTTAACTTGAAGAAAACTCCTGAACTAGAATAGATGAAAAATACAAAAATAAAAAAATTCTTGCCGATATACATTTTACAAACGTTTAAATGTTTCAGGCTATAACAATTGTTATGAAACAAA